CTAATGTTTTTGTCACTTTTTATGGAATCAAACTCAAAGTAAGGTCAGTACTTCCACGCTTTAAACGCTGCACGCTCATACTCTCTCCCGCACTCGATATATGATGAACTGTTGATCTGCACACAGCTGTTGTCACGAACGTCGCACTCGGTTACGTCACTGTCATGAGACATTCTTGCAAAAAAATCACGGTTTTAGTAACGCAGTAACGGAGCGTTCCTACGGGAAAGTAACGGTAATCTTATTACCGTTTTTGCAATAGTAATCCTTTACTTTACTCGTTACCTGAAAAAACTAATCAGATTACAGTAACGCATTACTGCCCATCTCTGCTAATAAGGGATTTTTTTTTTTTGTGTAATGAAATGTAATGAAACTGCTACATGAGAAATACAGAGGTTCTGCCAATTTCAAATTCACATAGTATCTATTTATGCATATCTAATTTTCACGTTTAATTTCCTTTCACTTTGTTGTTTATATGACATTTTGGTGACAATTCCTACAATCAGGATGAAGCACAAAAAGTTTTATTTAATATTGTTTCTATAATGATAATTTTACACGGGGTAATTTTCTCAAATATATTTTACCTTTGCCCCCCAAAAGTGTCAGTCACAACAGAACTTTTGATCACAGCGCAATTGCACAGGTTGCTAATGGGATGCAAACTGCCGACAAATAATCACAGTCTGACTTGCACTAAGTCCAGTTACTCTCCGACAGACGGGCAACCGCTTGAAAATAATTAACACTTAGTTTATAAATACAGAGAAAGAGTCAAGATATTGCAGTCAATCTCAGTCAATCTGCACTGAAGAGACCAACTCTGTATGTCTATAACACATCTCACTACAACATGGGACTCTAATCCACTGGCTACTAGCTGGTTATATTGCTTTATAAAAGTAAAGTTCCCAAGAGCCTCCAATTTTGCTCATAAACCACTGTAATGCTGCAGTCTCCATCCACTGGGGGGTGCCTTCAACATGACTACATTATGTGTTTGTGTCATTTTTATTTGAAGCACATTTGTACTATGTAGCCCTTTATTTTAAAGGCAGTTACACTAAAACAAGACATTAAAAATGTCTGATCATAATTTGAGGTTGGGGTAAAAAGTAAAATAGAGTTTGAACTTACTGGATTTATTTTGTCCCAACTTCCATATTAGGAATACTGCTATGCCAAAGCTTATTAAACAGACAGCCAAGTTGACGATAATGTGAACAGCAGTATTAGACTGGACCATAAAGAGATCACCTGAAATACAAGGAGACAAAATGTTCTAGATTCTACTTTCTGTAACTGAAAATTAATATGAGTGATATAAAAAAAAAAAAGGCATTTCTACCTGAAACATGGATGTGTGTCTCTTTGATTTGACTGATATTCTTCTGTTGAACTTTGCAGGTGAAGCTGTAGCTCTGTCCTTTCTCCACAGTCACTTTACTGCTGACAGTATAGAGGCCATCAGAACCTCTGACATTCTTTGTAGGTTC